TCCTCTCTACTATCATGATGATCATGATCATCATTCACCATGTTTAATCATGATTAATGTTATTTGATTACATGATCCGAGTAATTACGCTTTTGTCTTTCTTTCCCAGATTCAGAAAGCATAAACTAGTACATTGAAGAAATTTAAGTTTTACTTTAACCGCATTTGTTTTTTATTTAATTTGTTTAAATTTTGAGGGGGTGTTTAGTAATTTCTTTCTTTCTTAAATTATAAAATATTATTAAACTTACTGTGACATAATTGGCGTTGATATATTCCGTTTTTTCATCATCGTTAAGACGCTGCAATATGACACGCGTTTCAGGAAGCGGCAATACATTCGCATATCTGTAGATGAAAAGTGAAAGAGAGATGAAAAGATTAGTAATCGCAAAATTTTGAGAAAGAATTTTATTTGAATTTGTTTTAATAATTTATTAGGGCATAAGTAAAATATGAAAATGTTTAGAGTGATTAAAAATATTTAATTTTAAAATTTTTTATATCAAATGACCGATGATTCACTCTTTTCGATTCGAAAACGACTAAATCTTTTAATAATTTCTTAGAGAAACTTTTGGGAAAGAATCGCTCTAAAAAGAGGGTGTATTTTTAAGCTTCGGATAGAGTTAAAATAGAAGATTTTTTGATTCTCGAATGTTTTGTCACGAAATGATCGCGCCAAATCTAAAGAATATAAATGTAGATTTCGTATATTTTTTTCGAGGAATGTTGGCGAAAGGTTTAAAAGAGTTAAACTGGTTTTTTTTTTTTAATAATGTACGCGAAAATATTCAATAGAGTAAATTCATTCTCGAATGTTTTGTCGAGAGATGATGGCACAAATCAAAAGAAGCCATTTTCAAAATTTCATAAATGTTTAAGAAAGTTTTATATAATTTTGTTTTTTGAGAACGTCTAAATATTTTCTTTCGACAACCTTCGGGAAAATTCGCTGTAGAAAGTGTAGAAAAACAGGGGTTGATTCTGGGATATTTATCATTCCCAATTGTTGTTAGAGGGATGTTCATGAATATTTCTAGAGTCAAAAATCCATTGTCATTGAGACCTTATTAGGAGCCTTGAGATCAGGTGATAAAGTTCAATGTTTCGAAATCTAATACTTGGATTCTTTTCAAAGCTGAAAAGCGATGAATAAAGCATGGAAAACGGTAAACTATTTGACAATTCTTTTCTTTCGAGAACGTCTAAATATTTTCTTGAGGAAACCTTCGAGAAAGGAAGTGTAGAAAACAGCGGTTGATTCTGGGACATTTATCATTCCGAATTGCTGTTAAAGGAACGTTCGTGAATATTTCTAGAGTCAATAATCCATTGTCTTTGGGACCTTAATAAGAGCAGAGAATTAGGAGCATTGCGATCAGGTAATAAAGTTCAATGTTTCAAAATCTAATACTTTGATTCTTTTCAAAGTTGAACAATCTAAGGGGATTTATAGTTCTTCTGGTGGTAATGGAGAGAAGTTCTGTCTAGAACAGGAGTTGGAGTTATTGTTCCAAGGTCTCTTTAATTGGATTTTGCAGCGTGGATCAAATTGTTCTCTCTTTTTGAAATAAACATTTCGTGATTATGATAAACTTATTATAAAGCTTCGTTTGAAGTTTCAATGGATTGATGTTCCAATGAGTTTTTCTAAATTTTCGATTTTTATTTCATCGGCAGTAACCAATTTAAATCTTAAACGTTTCGGATCAAAAGAAATTGTGCAATATAATACTTCCGATCGGATTTTATAAGAATCTCAGAACTTCTTAATATTCCTTTTGAGGTTATTCAATGATATTCTATATTTAATTAATAAAAATATGACGAACTTTTCATATTAATTCCATTTTTTTAATAAAACAACTGTTCTTTTTTTTAAACGAATCAGTTAAAGAAATTCCCAGAAATCTTTTGTTTTCATCACAATTTCAATGTTATTCAACTCCTGTATTGTAAGTGAAAACTGAACATGTTCTTTGGAATGTTCCGAAAGTTCAGTTCACTTGAAGTAATTGATTTCTTTGGAAACACTTGTTCAAATATAATTCACTTACAAAATTTCAGAGAAAATTTTGTGAAAAATTTTAAAATTAAGAGAGTTTCAAAATCTAAATAATTTTTCCAAACTTACCTATTCTTATCCTCACAGCCTGGCGGTACTTCATCCAATCTCGAAGTTATTTGTGGTACATCACGGAATTCCTCAAATATACGCAATTTCTCCTGAGCAAATTTCGCCAATTCATGTACACCCATGGGATTATGACGCAGCGAGGGATCATCGAATGCTAAATTGCCATAAGTACGTTTGGAGGAACGTAAAGCACTACTCTTACGCATACTACCACCCACCGAGGCGTTGTCTATGGTAAATTCATCCATGCTAACCGGACGACAACGATTGGGATAGGAATTTTGCTTTTGACGTTTACGCATGAGATAAAGGAAGCCCACCAGCAAAATGAGCGCAATAACACCTATAACACTTACTGTTATGGCAATGATGACATTAACATCAGTTTCACCGGAAGCTTCCGAATTTTTGGGATACATATTACCACTATTGCCACCCATAATGGAAGTGAGTGTGGGTAGGGATTTGCCAATATCAGCGGTTTCTATAATTTTTGTAGAGGGTGTGGTGGTATCGGGTATCATTTCTGTGATATACGAGGTGCTGGAGGAGGGATATGTGGTGGTGGAGGAGGATGATGATGTTGATGATTCTTCTTCTTCAGTTTCCGTTAATAATTGTTGTGTTGTTGTTTGTATTAACTCAGTGGTGGTACTGTGTATCACATTGTAAATCTCTTCCACTTTCGTTGTTATAGCCGAAGGCAATGTTGAGGTTGTCGTCGTCGTTGTGGTTGTTGAAGATGCTAGTGGTGTTGGTGTCGGAGACGTTGTCGTCGTTGTTGTTGTTGAGATTGTGGTGGGAGAGTAAGTTTGTGTTGTTGTATCATCTAATAAACTTATAAAGGTCTCTTCATCTTTGGCCGCTGTTACTGACATTATTGTGCTAGTTGTTGTTGTCATGTTGCTGCTGTTTGTTGTTGTATCTATATTTGCATCTTTTTCTTGAGAAGTTAAAACTTCCTTTATGTTGCTTTCCTGCTTTGCAGTTGTCGTTGCAATTACGTTTTTTCTGTGCTACTAGTTGTAGTTGCTGTTGTTGTTGTAGTGGATGCCAAGTTTTCATTCGGCTTTGTTTCAATAACAACAACAGGTGTTTTGTTGGTTTCTGTAGTAGTAGTTGTTGTTGTATCTGTTGTTATTGTTGTTGCTGTTTCAGTTTCAATTTCCTTTCTCTCTAATTCTTCGTTTGTGGCGACAGGTGCTGATGACCCAATTGTGGTTTCATCCTCTAGTTTAGGGGTTGTTGTCTCTAGATTGTTTACGTCTTTAGAGGATGACGTAGTTGTTTCTATTGAAGACGTTAGAGTATTTTCTGTTTCTGTTGATTTAGCTGCTAATATGGTGGTCGTTTCAAATTCTCTGCTTTCCGCTAAATGCGTTTCAATTGTTTTCGTAGAATTATGTCGTCTAATTCAACTTTTGTTGTTGTTATTGATTGTTTTTGTTGCGGCGGCTCGTTGTTAGTCGTTAAATTTGTTTGAATTTCGTTGCCATTTTGGTCAACTTCCTGTTCAAAATTAGGGGCTTTCGTAGAGGTAGTAGTAGAGGAGGTTATTGCCAAAATATTTGGCCTAAATGTGGTAATAGGTAAAACGGTTGTTGTTGTTGTTGTTTCAATATTTATATTGATTTTTAGCTGTAATATTCTCGTTATTTTCAAATTCCTCGTGTAAAGCGGTTGACACCGTCACTGTTGTTGTTTGTGTGGAAAAATTAGTTTCATTTAAATTTACGTTATTATAATTATTATTATTTGTTGTTGTTGTTTCTGGGATTTGTTGAATGGCGTCGTTATTTAACGATGCGTTTTGTTTGCTAGTCTCTAGCGTACTAACTGTTGTTGTCTCACTGGAAATTTGCTCAACTGTTGTGGTGATATCAGCAACAACAGCTGTTGCTTCAGTCGTTGACGCCAACGTCTCGGCTGTCGTCGTCTCCAGGTCTAAGTTTTTTATATTTCCAGCTGCTATCGTACTATCATCATTATCATCATTATTATTATTATTATTTAAGTCTTTTTGCTTTTGTTTTAAAGTCAAGTTTATTTCATTTAAATTTGGTTCAATGTTCAGCGTTGCATTCAAGGGGTGGTTGTCCACTAATGCAGCATTATTATTAGTTGTTGTTTTTGATGTTGTGGCCACGTCTAGAGTTTCCGTTACCATTTCCAAATGATTATTCATATTTTCTTCAATTTTCTTATCTATCTCAGGGCTTTTATCAGTTTCATTGTTGTTTTTATCATTCGCCAGAGATAAGATTGTTTCTAAAGTAGTAACTGAGATTGTTTCTGGTGCCAGGGTAACCTCTTCTTCTCTAACCTGTAGTCTTAACTCAGTTGTTGTTTCTTCAAAAGGTTTAGAGGTTGTTGTAATACTTTGCTTTATCCTTTCATTTGTATCTAAATGATTTTCTTCTCTTTCTTTTTCCCTTTCCTTTTCCTCATTCCTGGTTGTTGTGGACAATTCCTTATCCATCATTATTTGTGACCAATCTAGTAAATTCTTTTCACTATTACTACTCATTGTTAATGAGGAATGTGTAGGCTGTAGCAGATTTTCCTTGAACTCCTGGGCTGTGATTATGCGCCGGCGCTTGTTTCCAAGGTAACTTCGGCTTTGGGTAGGGAATTTCATGGCTGCCAAAGACCATACCTCAGCATTGTTGGGTAAATTTAACTGTTGGGCATTTGTGGAATTGTCATTTATAAATTTGCCTGTCTTTCCCTTAAGATTTACGGACACATCCTCTATTTGCTGTTTTACATTACCTTGAAACTACTTCTTCTTGCTCTTTATTGAGATTTATCGCGGGCCTAAAGGTGGTTATAGCTAGAATATCTTCTTTATTTTCTTGTGAATTGAAGGTAGTAGTTTCTTCTTCCTCTTTATTAAACATAGATCTAGCATATTCCTTTTTATTACCCTCAAATATTAATAAATCTGATTCATTTTTCAATGTCTCTAAAGTGCTGGTTTCCGGGGTGGTTTGCGGCAGTTCATTGCTTTAATTAACACTTCCCGATCTAAGCCATCTTGTATATTATTTGTTAGCTGTTCTTTTGTGTTCTCTTCCGCCCATAAAAGGACTTAAAGTGGTCATTTCTAAAACCTCCAAACTTTCCGTAACCTCAGCTACTGAAGTGGAAGTTTCTGTCACCATTTTAACAGTTGTTGTCTCTACGGGTCTATGCTTTTGCTGTCCTCCTGGTGTTTGCTATTATCTAAACTATTAGATTTTGCAATTTCCTTCACATTTTCCTCGGTGGAGGTTTCCAAGGGAATTAATTTAACTTTAACCTGTGACTCATTATGGTTGTTATTTATTGCAGGCAGATTTTTCCTTAAATTCCTCTACTAAAACATTTTTATTTAATTCCTTGCTATTTTCTATACTATTTTCCCCATGGGATTCCAAAACTTGGACTTTTTAGTGGTTGTTTTCAGTTCTCAACTCTGTTAAGATTCTGCTGGGAGGCTGAGGCTTTTCATGTTCAAATTTTAAACTATTTTCATAGGATTTAGCTTCCGATTCCCCTTCATCCTTAGCACCTTCCTCTTGCACCAAAGTTTGCTCCTTTAACTGGGGTATTTTATCTATTTTAATATCATTACTGGTAAATTCTGTGGAGGTTTTGGTGGCCTCTTCCAAATTTTGTTCTTTAGTTTCCAATTGCTTTATAATTTCTTTAATATCTTGCAGATTATTTGTGTTCCAGTATTATTTTTCAATAAACATTTTGTTCTTCTAAATCCTTAACATTTCCTTCAGTTTTTCTTTCTTCTTCTTCCACTTCTTCTTTTTTATTTAAATTAATAATTTTATCTTCCTCCTCTAAGAGTTTTTTGGCTTCATTTATTAAAATTTCATTGTTGGTTAATTCCTTGGAGGTTTCTTTGGAAGCAAAATTCATGCCCTCCACCGATTGCAGTTTAGTTGTGCTGACAACTTCACTTGCATTATTTAAAGCCGTTAAAATGGTGGGTTGTGCTGCAGTGTCTAAAACAAAGTTGCCAGATTCGTTTACAGCAGTGTTGTCACGTTTTTTTATTACTGCTGCTTGATTGTTGTTTATCGAAAAGCATATAATTAAAATGGCTAACCACCAGCCCGAGCTAAGGGCCTTGACTCTTGTTTTAAACAGCAACATTTTGTTAAAAAAAAACTTTAAAATCCAAATGAAAATTATAGCTCGTTTCTTTCTAACATTAAACTTTTCAAATTTCCCGCCTTAATTTAAAATTTTCAAATCTTTTCCTACTGTTAGTACAAAATTGTTTGTTGGTTATTATTTTTACACAAATATTATTCAATGTCTTCGTTTTCTCTTTCCTCTTAAGCTGCTTTAAATTGTTCACTTATTATTTCATTATCTCTTTCGTTGATTAACTTGTTCGCCTGGAAATTTGTGGACATTCCATGTTCTTAATTTAGCGTTTGGTATTCATTTCAAAACACCTTTGAATACATGTTGACCATATCGGTGGTAAATTTTGGTGTCAGGTTTATTGGAATGTGTTTTTTGGAAAATCTACAAGAAAAGAACAACAATATGAAAATTTAATTAAAGGGCCTTTTGTTATATTTTGTTAGAAATATTTAAAAGTATCTTATCGTTTAAAATTTAGAATTGTATCTAATCATTTGGCATTGACATCAGTTGTTTTTATTATATAGTTTTTCATTATCATATTACCTTATCTTAAATTATTATTTTTTGTAATTATTGCGGGCATAATGCCCTTATTAAGTTTCTTTTAAAGGTTTTTGAACTGTTGATTTCTAAATGTATGGAGGCCATTTTCAAAATAGTCATAAATATGTATGCGAAAGTTAGATTTCAATATATTTTTCATTAATTTTCTAAAAAATTCTCAATATTGAAAATTTTCTAAAAAAATTAATTCAATATGGAATATTTCTATAATTGATAATTTTCTATAAAAATAGTTCAAAATTGTAAATTTAAAAAAAAAATTCAATATTGAAAATTTTATATGAAAATTTTTCTTAAAAAATTGTTCAATATTGAAAATTTTCTTAAAAAATTATTGAATATTGAAAATTTTTTATAAAAAAATTATTCAATATTTATACTTTTCTATAAAAAATTATTCAATACTAAAACTTTTCTAAAAAAAATTATTCAATATTCAAAATTTTCTATAAAAAATATTTTAATATTAAAAAATTTCTATAAAAAATTGTTCAATATTGAAAATTTTGTATAAAAAATTGTTCAATATTGAAAATGTTTTATAAAAAGTTGTTCAATATTGAAAATTGTTTATAAAAAATTATTTAATATTGAAAATTATCTATAAAAAATGATTCAATATTGAAAATTTTCTATAAAAAATTATTCAATATTGAAAATGTTCTATAAAAAATTATTCAATATTTATATTTCCATAAAAATTTACGAAATTGAAAATTTTCTATAAACATTTATTAAAATTGAAAACTTTCTATAAAAATTTATCAAAATTGAAAATTTTCTATATAAAAATTTATCAATATTGAACAATTTTTTATAGACAATTTTAAATATTAAAAATGTTTATAGAAAATTTTAAATATTAAAAATGTTTATAGAAAATTTTAAATATTAAAATGTTTATAGAAAATTTTCAATATTAAACATTTTCTATAAAAAAATATTCAATATTGAAAATTTTTTATAAAAATTATTCAATATTGAGAGTTTTCTATAAAAAAATTATTCAATATTAAAAATTTTCTATAAAAAAATATTCAATATTAAAAAATTTCTATAAAAAAATATTCAATATTAAAATTTTCTATAAAAAATATTCAATATTGAAAATTTTCTATAAAAAAATATTCAATATTGAAAATTTTCTATAAAAAAATATTCAATATTGCAAATTTTCTATAAAAAAATATTCAATATTGAAAATTTTCTATAAAAAATTATTCAATATTGAAAATTTTCTATAAAAAATTATTCAATATTGAAAATTTCTATAAAAAAATATTCAATATTGAAAATTTTCTATAAAGAAATATTCAATATTGAAAATTTTCTATAAAGAAATATTCAATATTGAAAATTTTCTATAAAGAAATATTCAATTTTGAAAATTTTCTATAAAAAAATATTCAATATTGAAAATTTTCTATAAAAAATTATTCAATATTGAAAATTTTATATAAAAAAATTTTCAATATTTGAAATTTTCTATATAAAATTATTAAATATTGAAAATTTTCTATAAAAAATATTCAATATTGTAAATTTTCAATAAAAAATATTCAATATTGAAAATTTTCTAGAAAAATTTATTTAATATTGAAAATTGTGTATAAAATTTGTTTCAATATTGAAAAATATCATTATTTATGTAATTTAATAATAGCGTTTATCTTTTCTCACAGTAATATGTATGTAATTATTATCTTTCCACCATTTAAAACAATTTAATATGATTTTTTCTATTGAAACTAAACTACTTTTCAAAATCAAACTATAAAGTTCATTAAACTTCAATTTCATGTTTTCTGCAACTACAACAATAATAAAAGGCAATCAAATATGAATTACAAAAAAGAAATTATATATTTACACTCTACATTACATTTTACCCCCTAAACATGCAGGTTACTACAACTGAAATCTACCATCTCTATAGTTTGAATATAAATAAATAATGAGCAAGACACAGTCACTTAAAAAATAATATACGAAGGTTGTTTGCATGGGAAACTGATTTTATAAAGTTTATAAGGATAAAATCTAGTTTATTTTTGCTTTTGATTTTGTAAACAAACCTCGTATTTGGTAATGTAATGGCATGTCATTATTGTTATCTAAATATTTTGCTTGTTTTGAGGTTAGTAGGGGTAACAGGAAGAGAAACAGAGAGAGTGAGAGATTCATTCATAGAGACATGATACAATATAAATGACAGTAATAATATTTATATAGAAATAACGATAACAACAAAACAATAACAATGATATTTAAAATAGTATATTTTTCACTTGTAGTTGGTTATATTTTGGTTCACAAAGGAAGGAAATGCGAGAGTGTGATATTTACATATAATAGAGGATGCCAGATTTATTTTAGATAGATTTTATTTTTGGCAGCACTAGCATAAGAATGGTAAAGGATTCTAAGGTGGAAAATAGAGAAAAACTCACAACAGTTTTAACTCTTTCTGACCTTTCTATAATATTTTTAGATTTTTTTTCAGAATTTTTTATTATAGATTTGTAATCTATTTAGGAAAATTGCTAGTTCATTTTTACTTCAAATATTTATGTAATATTTAAAGCTACACATTAGTTTATTGTCTTTGTTTATTTAATCGGTAACGCATGTAATTTTGAATTGACACGCAATGTTATGAGAGCAAGAATTTTATAAGTAAACAAATTATAATTTGATTAGTCCGACTATATGATACCCTACATCATCTATAAATATGTTTAATATGGCATTACCCTGACTGTCCGTTCTACGTACCGAAATGAGCCGACTTATTCGGCCAAGGCCTGTCAACTCTATCAACAACAATGTTTAACATGAAAATATTAAAAAATTGTGTTAATTGAAATTGTTCAGTATCGAAAGATTTCTTTAAAAATATTGAAAATTTTCTATTCTTCAAGATTTACTTATTGACTCAGATGAGTGTACGACCATAATATTGAGTGTTACAAATATCAGCATGAATGCATGTCATTTGTCCCTGGTGGTGTACTGTGTAACAAGTGTTTTATTTTATTTATCCTGAGTTTTTTTATTATTATACATCTAACACACCTTAGATGTGAATAATATTTAAATTAGTTATAACTTAATTTAAGTGTAAGTAATATTACGGCGAAAAGAGTTTTTAATTAATATGACACTTGAATGAATAAAAAAGTATGACAGCTACCTTCTGTTTAATAGTTCTAAAGCGGTATAACGGTTATGAACAGTACAACAGTTTAAACTGTATAGCAGTTATTATCTGTGTAACTGTTATAATCTGTATAACAGCTATAAGAAGTATAACAGTTATACATAATACAGCAGTTCTAAACTTTGTATTAGTTTCAAATGTTATACATTGTATAACATTTACAAAATGTAAACCAGTTGTAAACTGTGTAAGAGTTATGAACTATGCAACTGTTAAAACTGTACACAAATTGTAAACTGTATAACAGTTTCAATTGTATAACAGTTATAAATTGTATAAATTTTATAAACTGTATAACAATAATAAACTGTATAACAGTTATAAAATGTATAACAGTTAAAAACTGTATAACAGTTAAAAACTGTATAATAGTTATAAACTGTATAACAGTTATAAACTGTATAATAGTTATAAACTGTATAACAGTTATAATCTGTATAACAGTTGTAATCTGTAGAACAGTTATAAACTGTATAACAGTTATAAACTGTATAACAGCTATAAACTGTATAACAGTTATAAACTGTATAACAGTTATATACTGTATGACAGTTATAAACTGTATAACAGTTATAAACTGTATAACAGTTATAAATTGTATAACACTTATGAACTGTATAACAGTTATAAACTGTATAAAAGCTATAAACTGTACAACAGTTAAAACTGTATAACAGTATTAATTGTATAACAACTATAAACTGTATAAGTGTTATAAACTATATAAGAGCTATTAACTATATAACAGTTATGTTATAACAATTAAGAACTGTTTAACAGTTAAAACTGTATAAGAGTTCTATACTGTATAACAGTTAACACTATATAACATTTATAAGCTGTATAACAGTTATAAACATAGAACAGTTAATACTGTATAGCAGTTATACAAATATAGAAGTTGTAAAATTTATAATATTTACAAAATTTATTACTGTATAACAGTTACAAATTGTGTAAAATTTTCATATAATCGTATACAACAGTTACAAAATGTATAACAATTACAAAAAACTTTCCTTTTATACTTATTTTCCTTTCTACTCTTTTCTCCATTTGTATTTTTTAACTATTTTCAAATATAACGTTTAATATTAACAACATTACACATAGTGGCAACTCTTTATTGCTACAATATAAAACTAAAGCATACCTTAAGGCTTTAACATACTGTGTGTTGTGTAGCAGAGTAAATAATTTTATGCAATTTTAGAAAAAACTAAAAAATAGGAATTTAACAAATTTTTAATGAAATTAATGTTTATCCATAAAATATTAAATACATATTTTTAATATTTATGGTTTTTATTTGTTAAACTTTTAATTTATTTAATCTTATTTCATAATTAATTTCTGCATTACGCTCTCTACACATTGCGTGCATTTTGAAAATTATGTTTTTTTTTTTACAAATTACAGTTAAGAAACATTGATTGTTTTTTTGTTGTAAAAATCAACCATTTAAAGCCGTATTAATGTTAGAAATTTAGTCTAGAACTATGATTGCACATAATCTTTACAAAATTTGTGATTTACTGTCGGTTGGTTTGTCTTTGTTTATAGATAAAGTTGCTTTTATTGAAGTTGTTTTATG